CTCTCTCTCTCTCTCTCTCTCTCTCTCTCTCTCTCTCTCTCTCTCTCTCTCTCTCTCTCTCTCTCTCTCTCTCAACTTCACCTCCAATTTGAGTGTTACCTGCTTACCAGATAAGACCCTTCCTCTTCTTCTCTTGCAGAGGAACTATTTATCTTCTTTTTTGCAGCTTGTCTAGTTACATTTATTATCTTCTTGAGACTCTCATTGTTGTTGTCACAGAAAAAGGTTCTAAACGAATAAAAAATGAAAGCCACAGTCGTCCGCACAAAAAAAAAACACGCATGCAAAAGCCCATACGCAGAGATAGACTATGAAACGAACGGAGTCACATGCATGGTTAGAGATCCATACCAACTTACATTTCAACACAGTGGTGTGCGACACAAGTACTACTGGCAAATCGCTACGGGCAAGGGACAAGGGACATGGCCCAACGCCACCATAGCCCCTGCAAATAAGTACTAGGTACTAGTGACACGCCACCATAGCCGCTGCAAATAAGTACTTATCAACGCAAACACACTACGGTCGTACGATCCTAGAAGCAGGTTGAGTCTATCCAAAAAAAAAAGGGGGAGCAACTGCAGATGTTTCATTCAAAAGAACGTTCAGAAAACAAGGTACATGCTTCCTTGCCTCTCTCCCTTCCGACCACTTTCCTAGCTTCCTTACCTTGCCTTCCCTCCCCTCCCCTCCCCTCCCCTCCCCTTCCCTCTCCCCTACTGCACTCTGCAGTGCAGCAGACCAACACACAAACAAGACCGCCGTCTCTAAGTCCCAACAAGGGAGAAGAGCAGGCGGGCATGCAGCTGAGCAAACCATGCAGACTGCAAAAGCATCCATCAATCAGGGCATATACTCACAAGAGGACTTTTTTACTTATTTATAGGACCGTGATTGCAGTCAGATGCATCCAGGTCTGACGGTAAATGCGGACCAGTACATTTAAGATAAAGCTAGTGTGAGTATACTCTCTCAACCTCAGCTTCCTTCCTGCTATCATTAAATCCACCTCCTACTTTCCTCTCTCTATCAGGCTCCTCCCACCTCTCCTCCTTTCCTTCACCAGTCTGCCTCTCCCTGCTCTTTCTCTAGAGCTCTAAGATGATGAAGTACTGGCTCGATCCTGCATGACGGATGCAAAGCTCAGAATATAAATGGGAATAAAACTCGTTAACACTGCCATATCACTCCGTGTCGACAAGCATAAGGTCACTCACTGGCTCTCTCCCACATGCCTGATTAAGGGGGTGTGATCTCTTGCTGCTTGAAGTATTGCCGATCCCCTCCACGTCGACAAGCAGAAAGTCGCTGGCTGCATCCCACATGCCTGATTACGGTAGTACCGACCACTGAAATTGTGTTTCCCTCTCACCTTCTTTTCCTCCACGAGTCAGTCTTCTTCGCCTCGCTGCTCTTACTCTCCTCCCAAGGTCACTTGCTCAATCCCACATGCCGGATGAAAAGCACAGAACACGCTTGAGAATATAGAACCGGTTAACGCTGCTGTCACTCCGCCCGATAGCGGGTAATCTATGTCTCCTAAGGCCACTGGCTCAATCCCACATGCCGGATGCAAAGCAAAGACTAGGGCANTAAGGCCACTGGCTCAATCCCACATGCCGGATGCAAAGCAAAGACTAGGGCACGAGAATATAGAACCGGTTCGCGCTGCTGTCACTCCGCCCGATTGAGGGTAATCACTTGTTTTGACTCCCTGCTCTTTCTCCGAAGGCCACTGGCTCGATCCCACCACATGCCGGATCCAAAGCACAGAATACACGCATGAGAATATAGAACCGGTTAATGATGTCGTACCTCCACCCGATAGAGAGTAATCCCTTGCTCTTTCGCCGAGGGTCACTGGCTCACATGCCGGATGCAAAGCACAACAGACTAAGCATGAGAATATAGAATTGGGTAATGCTGTTGTACCTCCACCCGATAGAGGGTAATCTCTTGCCCTTTCTCCGAAGGCCACTGGCTCGATCCCACATGCCGGATGCAAAGCACAGAATAGGCATGAGAATATAGAAACTGGTTAACGCTGTTGTCACTCCGCCCGATAGAGGGTATAGAGGGCAAGCTCTTGCTGCTTGATGTACCCAACGATCCTCCCTCCTCGTCGACAAGCACAAGGTTGGGGTAGTGCCTCCCCCTCCCTGCTCTTTTTGTCTCTAAAGACGTCTGAAAAAACGATGAAGTACTGGCTCGCTCGATCCGGCATGACGGATGCGAAGCACAGAAATTGGACTGGTGAATGGGAATATATCAAGAAGACTGTTGTCACTCTGCGCGATAGAGGGTGATCTCTTGCTGTTTGAAGTACCGCCGGTCCTCCTCGTCGACAAGGACCAGATTGAGGTAGTACCGAACATTGAACTTGTTATTGATGTTTCTGTAAGTCGGTGTCAGCTCATAGGGGCTGAGGAACAGGCGGATGGGTATGGACTCTCCTCTGACAGGCGCGCCGTCCATGATCTCGTACTTGGCCAGCGTTTCGCTCTCGTGGTAGGCGTTGGGCACCGACCCGGTCGATTCCCGCCTGCGCACCTCTAGCTCCATGTGCTTGATCTTTATTCTGACGAGCAGGAAGTAGATTTTGCCGACGATGACGTCTTTCAGATGGTACTTGGATTTGCTGTACTCGAACTCGATGTGCAAGCAATCCTCTATACCCACTTCCATCTTTATGCTGTTGTTGATCTCCGGCAAAGGGGACACATTGCGCACCCAAAAATCCTTCTCCTTCACGATGTTTGTGGCATAACTCCTGCTGATTGTCACCTTCAGAATGTACCTCAGTCTCACATTAACCCCATTGTAGGACTCGTACTGCATCTCGACATTGGAAAACTCGAAGGGATATATCTTCTTGTCGGTGATCTCTCCCGGGGTATCCATTTCGCGCACAAGACTTGTGAAGTCGTAGAAATTGCTCCTGTCAAAATAAAGCTCGATCTGTCCCAGAAGCTCGATCTTAACCCCTGTGTGCTCCACCTTCTTGCCCGGCAAGGGTTCAATTCGCACATTGCCGACCAAACTCTCACCCCCCTGAAAGAGGGCCACAAGCTCAGTCTGTCCATTCTCCTTCTTCACGCTCGCTTGCTTGCGCGTATCCGCATCCGAGAAGTCGATCGAGATAGTGCAGGTCGGTCCGAACGCGCCCGATAGGAAATTCATGATGACGACAACAATTAACTTTGTTCTCTACTTCGTTTGTCGACCAATGTGAAGAGATGATGATCACACCACCGAACTAGCTCTGTGTCAAGCAAGAAAGTCCTCAGGGCAGTGGCTATGAATCTACGCAACACAAGCTTGCCCACAGGACCAATGGCGGCGAAAGGGAACAGAGGGTGGTTCTTTCCACGACCTAGACCTTTTCTTCAGCAATCACGATGGCTTGTTGCCTAAATAGGAATGCTTCTCAAGATGTTCCTTGCATGCTCTATATACTTGTTGTTCGCAATTGTATTGTGCACTCTCTTGCCTGCCGCTATATAGTTGTTTTTCGCGGTCGTAATGTGCACAATACAACGCATGGCTTCCGAAGAGGGAAGGAAAGGAGGATATCTATTACCAGACTTCTACTCTCTTCTCCCCCCTCCTCTCCTTCCTCCTCCTCTCTCTCTCTCTCTCTCTCTCTCTCTCTCTCTCTCTCTCTCTCTCTCTCTCTCTCTCTCTCTCTCTCTCTC